ATCACCTTAATTTAGAAGAAAAATATTCTGTTTCAAAAATCTGTAACGAATATAATGACATATTTTTCTTGCCTAACGATAAACTAACCACAACGAATCTTTTGAAACACGAAATTAAAGTCACTGACCCGACACCCATTGCGTCCAAAATTTATCGGTTTCCAGAAATTCATAAAAAAGAACTAGACAAGCAAATAGCTAAAATGCTACAGCAAGGCATTATTCGAGAATCAGTTTCTCCTTACAACTCTCCTCTTTGGATAGTTCCCAAAAAGCTGGATGCTTCAGGCGAAAGGAAATGGAGGATAGTCGTTGATTTTAGGAAACTCAATGATGTGACTATTTCCGAATTTTTTCCTTTACCCAGTATCGAAGATATTCTAGACCAACTTGGTCATTCTAAATATTTCACCACTTTAGATTTAGCTTCCGGTTTTCATCAAATTGACATGCACGAAAGTGACATCTCTAAAACTGCTTTTTCAACTCCTTCAGGTCATTACGAGTATGTTCGTATGCCGTTTGGTTTAAAGAATGCCCCCAGTACTTTCCAAAGGCTTATGAATGCCGCCCTTACAGGTCTTCAAGGACTTCAATGTTTCGTATACCTTGATGACATTGTCATCTTTGCCAGTTCCATAGAAGAACATTCCAAAAAATTAGAAAATGTATTTCAAAGACTTCGAACTAATAAACTTCTCTTACAACCCGATAAGTGCGAATTCATGCGCACCGAAGTTACTTATCTAGGTCATATCGTTAGTGAAAAAGGAGTTTCACCAAATCCCGATAAAATTTCATCAATGAAGGAATACCCAATTCCAAAAACTCCGAAACAAATTAAGCAATTTTTAGGTCTTATTGGTTATTATCGAAGATTCATCAAAGATTTCTCAAAATTGGCAAAACCACTAACAAATCTTTTAAAGAAAGATGTTCCATTCTTATGGTCTTCTGAACATCAAAATTCCTTTGATTATTTCAAAAATATCTTAACTACAAAGCCAATTCTCCAATACCCTGATTTCTCCAAAGAATTTATTCTTACAACAGACGCTTCTAATTACGCTGTTGGAGCGATCTTATCTCAAGGAAAAATTGGTGAAGATTTACCTATCTCATACGCATCAAGGACTCTTAATAAAGCCGAATGCAACTATTCTGTTGTTGAAAAGGAACTTCTCGCTATTGTTTGGGCAGTAAAACATTTTCGTCCATACCTATATGGTAGAAAATTTGTTATTTACACAGATCATCGCCCCCTAACTTGGCTTTTCAATTGCAAAGATCCAAGTAGCCGACTAGTACGATGGCGTTTAAAACTAGAAGAATATTCTTACGAAATAAAATACAAACCTGGAAGAGTAAATTCTAATGTGGATGCTTTATCCAGAAATCCTGTACCTGTAATGACAGTACACTTGGAAAAATCTTGTTTTCCTACAAAAGAAGCCGAATCATTCCCGGACTTCACGAAATTTCATTACCAAAACCAAAAAGTTCCAAATATCGAAATAATTAAGGAAAATATATTCCAAAAATTTCCAAATGCAATTTTCTATTCTAAGGATCTTGATGAAAACAATCCATGTTCCGAAAATCTCTCCCTAAATTATGATTTAGCAAAAATCGATCTAAATGAACTAAATCTTTACGATTCAGTAACTTTAAAAAACGATAATAAACAAACGTTTTTGCTTATCTCTAAACTTAATCACTTCGATAAATTAACGTACAATGATCTTTTCTACTCCTTGCAAAATTTGAGAACAGATCTAAAGAAAAATAAAATATCTCATATCTTCTTAAAGAATCCATGTGAAAATAATATTCACATAAAACAAGACGTTTTTAACGACCTCCTTGAATACTTATTTATAAAACACAAAATTTCTATTACTCTGGTTAATCGTCCTAGATTTCAACCGAATACTCATGACGAAATAAAACAAATATTCAAAGAAAATCATGATTCAGCTGTTTCAGGTCACTCAGGTTTTCTTCGTACTTACCGAAGAATTAAAGAAAATTATAAATGGCCTAATACGAAAAGTGACATTAAAAGGTTAATTAAAATTTGCGAATCCTGTCAAATTAATAAGTTAAATTGTCACCCACCTAAAGCTCCTATGGAGATAACAACAACTAGCGAACGTCCATTCCAAAGACTAGCTATTGACATTGTAGGACCCTTACCCATAACAGAAAAGGGTAACAGATTCATTATCACCATGCAAGATGATTTAACTAAATTCTCATATGCTATGCCTATTCCAAATCATGAAGCCAGAACTGTAGCCGAACAGTTATTGCAATTTATCTCTCTTTACGGTATCCCAGAAACAATTTTATCAGATCAAGGCACTGATTTCACTTCTAACGTCATAAAAGACTTGAATAAACTTTTCAAAATCAAGCATATACTGTCTAGTCCTTATCATCCGCAAACTAATGGCGCATTAGAAAGGTCACACCTTACTTTAAAGGAATATCTAAAACATTACATAAGTTCCCAACAAAATGATTGGGACGAATTTGTCTCATTGGCTATGTTCACCTATAACACACATATTCACAAAGCCACTAATTTCACTCCGTACGAATTAGTCTATGGTCATAGAGCTTCTATTCCAAATTCTCTAACATCGAAACCTGAATTCAAATATACTTATGATGATTTCTACTCCGCACTAAAATTAAAATTAAACCAAAGTTTTGAATTAGCTCGAGAAAACATAATTAAGTCCAAACAAAATTCAAAACAACATTACGATAAGAAATTGAATTTAAATAATCTTAAACCCGGTGATTTTGTATACATCCAAAATAAAGCTATAAAGCCCGGATTAAATAAGAAATTTTCAGCCCTTTATAAAGGCCCTTTTAAGGTAATTACAACTTATCCTAACCAAACCGTTAAGTTATTACTTAATAATAATAAGCAAGCAACTTACCATCATAATTTACTGAAACCTTTCTTTTCAGAAAATGCTGCTGGCATTACTCCTTTTACTTCTCCTTAACCCTTTCAAGGCAGAATTTTCAATAATGTAAAAAAATAAATTTTGATTAAAAAATTACTTTTATTACATGGCGAATATTATGAATTTACACCAAAAAAATGTTTTTTCCTTTAAAAATTAAAGTTAGTAAGTGGTGTCACCATGGTACCACCAAGCAATGAAAACAAGTTTATTAAAATAATACAAACTTTTATTTTTGTATTTTACATTACTTTTTATGATGTGTAATCTTCCCTAATCATTTTTTTTGTGGAACCTCTCAAAACAATTTTTTTTATCACTTAGGCACAATCCTACATCACAAGTAGAACAAGTCCATCGGGTACGATGCTGTTCTTTTCTTGAACTGCACAGTGCACATCTTCGAGAATTCGAATGAATTGGCATGTGAGCAGCCTGATCCCATCTCTTCTCTAGAGGAATATTGGGCTTGAAATGGCTTACAGGCATTTGACCCCTTGGTCTACCTCTGTTAGGAGTTTCACTACCTGCCCCAACCAGCCCAGTTACAATGAACAACCGGAAATCTTTTAGACTCAAATTGGTTCCTTTACACCTTTCTTTATAAATTATGAACGAATTCACTATTGCTACATCAAGAAAATGCCATAATATTCTGGGCCACCATTTCCTGCTCTTCCTGTCAATTTCATAAGTCGTCTTGAGCATGTCTGCCTTGTCCACAAATCCCATGTTCGTATTGTAATCTTTTACAATGTCTGGACAACTAATGGTTTCCTTCTCACCATCCTTTTTTTTTCGGTCACAAGTTCCTATAACATCGGGTCTATGAAAATTGCTCGCCATGGTCACAATCCTTTTATCCTTCCATTTTACAAAACTTATTCCATCCTCAGTTATTCGCCAGTCTGTATCGCCCCTTTTCATTTCCTTATCAGTTTTTAAATCTCCTGGTATTCCTATACGTTTCGCTCTTATGGTACCACAGGCATATATTTTTTCAGATCTTAGTTGTCGCAAGAGCGGCAAAGACGTAAAATAATTGTCAAAATAGACTCTATGGTTTAAATTTACTAAAGATCTTGTTAAATCAGTAACCACTCTTGCTCCCAGATTTAGTTCTGCTTTCTCGCCAATTTTTCCTGTGTAGATTTGAAATTGATCAACATACCCACTTTCTGACGCTCGCACCCAAACTTTGTAACCGCGCTTTATAGGCTTGTTTGGCATGTACTGACGTAAAGAAGAGCGTCCTTTGAAAAGAATCATTGACTCATCCACGGACACATTTTTTGAAGGTTTGTAATATTTTGCGAAACTTTGAGACAAGGCAACCAAAAGAGGTCGTATTTTGTAAAGCTTGTCAAAGTCAGGGTCCCCACGTTTAGGCTGCAAGGCATTATTGTTCAGGTGCAAGTTTCCTAATAACCAATCAAACCTAGTTCTCGGCATTAGTTTTGATATGTAACCATCCCTTAGTTCCAACTTCGTCGACCAAAAATCTCTGTAGCTCGGCTGGCGTTTTATGCCCATAAGTATGTTTATGGCAAAGAATATTTTGACTTCTTGTAAATTAGTTGGAATAAATGGTTTACCCGATATTGCACTGGCCTGGGTAGCATATAAATTGGTTTGAAAGGTAATATGATCAAATAAAGAGTCTGGAAACAGGCAACAAAAAACATCGACAGGTAGCTCCACCTCTTCCGGTACATTGGTAGGTCCAAATTCGTGACTGAAATTTACTGGCGGTAAATAGCTTATTATGGCTGTTTTCCAAATAAATTTGTTCGCATTGAGTTTCTTGGCTAATTCCGAGAGAGGAATATCGTCATCATCACTGAAATCATTTTTATAGACGATTTCATCTTCAATGGAGTCGATGTTTTCATCTTCAATGGAGTTGATGTTTTCATCTTCAGTAGTATTAGCTAAAATGCACAGTAGGTAGATCTTAGATTTTTTTTATTGAATAAATATTACCTTCTTGCGCGTTATCTAACTCAAGATCATTACCGTCGATTTCATCATCCCATACAAAATCCAAATCAACAGCAGTTGGTGCAGCAGTGTCCATAACATTTTCTTCTTCATCACTGATATCCTCTGACTCTTCACCAGATGGTATTTCCTCAAAAAAAGTGCTCAGAACATCATCATAATTCATTTTTTCTAATTCGTCATATTTCCATCTTTTTCCTAAAAATTAACATAAAATTTAAAAAAAATTATTATCTGCTTAGTGGTTTCAATTGACACCACTTAAATTTTTACCAAAAAACATTCACAATAATATTTTGCTTCGTCACTATAATAAACTACATGCTATTACAACATTTTCTTTACTAAAAATTACTTACCCGCCATTTTCAACAATTATTACAACACATAAACACAAACTTTCATAATTCTAACAAAAAAACACCAAATTAATTGTTTACCCTTCAAAGATCTTCGGCAACTGACACACGACACCACCGAATCAAACGGTATATTTTTTTTCCGTTAGATGGCGGTACTTAGCTATTATTTCGTAGGCGGTATCACTGTTTTACCACAACGCAGTTAAAACATGATTTTTGTAATGTGTGGTTTCGTGGTAAAACCGCAGAGCGCGAAAGGGTTAAAATAAATAAAAGCTCCACAAATGACCTATTCGAACCCGAATATAACATTACTAATCTATTCGATCGTTCAGGAATATTTTACCATGAATTAGGTCAAGCCCGACTCTCCGAAGACAAATTTACTCTCTTATCATTTGTTAATATTTCTATTTTTGAAGAAAAATTAAAATTAATTCGCAAAACATACCAATCTTCAATACCCATATGTATATTCTATCGAAGAGAAGGTAATAAAACCGATAGAGATTTTCAAGTAACTTGTGAAGGAACTCTAAATCTAATTGAGAAAAATCTCAATACCTTAAAAGACAAATATGATTCGATTTGCCACTTAACTAGTCATAATAAAATTATTTTAAGGCAAAAACGAGGTCTTATTAATGGAGTTTCATACGCATTTAAATGGCTTTTCGGTATTCCCGACGCAGACGATGCACAATTTTATACAGATGCAATTTCTTCTATGTCACAACAAACTGACGACATGAATAAATTAATGAAACAACAAGTTCATATTTTATCAGATGCAATTGAAGGTTATAATGCAACCGCACAAGCTCTCCTAAAAAACCAAGGGATCTTTAACGAAAATTTTAGAAAATTTAATAAGTTTGCAACCTCTGCAACAAAGAAGATCAATGCTATGACTTACAGACAGACTGTCGCGGGACAATTAAATTTATTAACCCTATTATCAAATGAATTAAATGAAGAATTTGACGTAATCATTTCAGCTATTTTATTTTCAAAGCAAAATATCTTGCACCCAAGCATAATTACGCCCGCGCATTTAAGACAAGAACTACTGAAAATCAAATTAGATTCGAATCGGGAATTCCCATTCGAAATCGAAAAACTCGAAAACGCTTATAAATATTTAGAAATATGCTCTCTATCAGTAATTTACTCAGACGAAATTTTAATTTACGCTATAAGAATTCCGTTAGTCACAAGAAGCGCATTTTCACTCTACAATCTAATACCTTTACCAGTAAAACTAACAAATTCCTCTGTCTATTCCTTTATAAATCCGTCGTTTCCTTACCTACTACTGAGCCCTATGAAGAACTCATATGGACAAATGGAGGACCTATCCAACTGTTTGAAGGTACCACCTTCCGATTTTATCTGCAGTAAAACCACTACCTACCTTATCAAGGAAAGACCCATCTGTGAAGTTGAATTGAAAACTAAACAACTGCAAATCATTCCAAAGGATTGTGACACCAAAGTCACTAAAGGCACCTTTGAAATTTTGGCATCCAATAAGTACCAACCAATGGCTATTTATAGTCACTAATCCTACAATTGGCACAATATATTGCGATTCCAACACTAGAACCAGTGACGTCAATATAAATGGAATTGGGATTTTTACCCTAAAACCCAAATGCAAATGCTACACTTTAGCTACCACATTAATTGCTTCGTCCAATCTCTCTGCAAATTACACTAGTCCGCTGCAATCAGTCGACATTACCTTGGACGATTGCTGCCAAATAAAGCAAAAATTTACTGCAAGCAGATACAATGGAACCGATTCGTTTAGAAAACGTGAACCTAAACGATCTAAACCAAGCTGATTCCAAATTAAACCAGATCGACGCCGAACTTCAGAGAAGAATCGACCAACCGTTTCTCTACCATACTTCAAAGTGGTACAATACCTTAACTGGATCAATTGTACTTACGATCATCATTCTGGTCACCTGTCTTTGCTGCTGCCGAAAATGCCGCTGGCTACCTCTAAGATGGATTAAAAACATTTTTTTCCAGAAATACCTGTCAATACCTATTGTGTATTAATAGTCATAATACCATTTCTGACAGCAGGCTCTCCGCACCTAGAATAACTTTTAGGCGAATCCCGGACAGAACGAAGCTATCGCTATAAGTTCCAGCTACATAAACCCTAATGGAATCGACAATAGTGGTTATCAGATCTCTACTGACGAACCAACCCCAGCGAACCTCTACGAAGAAGTCCAACTACCAGAATCAACACCAACCTAGGATGACGAGGTCAAAAACAAAAATTTTAAAAATTTAACTTTTATTTATATCCACTAACCCTTTTTATTAAATTTAAGTATGTAATTATTATGATACCAGGTTATTAGCTATAAGACTTCGACTTTAAATCATTACCTTTTATTTCATGTTTTCATACACAATAATTCTAACACAAAGAAAACACAGACTCACGAAAAATCAAAATTTTATTGAACTGTTACATTTAACATCAGTTGTTCACAGCTGAACTGTCTGGAAGAAGTCCACTGGGACCTCCACAAAAGACTCCAATACAGCGCTCCACACGACCACCCTCATCACCAATGAGCGGTGCCGTGAATTGGCACACCCCGCAAAACCTCGGGGAAGGATTGAAGTTCCCTCCTGTTAACAGTCCCTTGTGGCACCCATCCGTGCGCCACCTGTTTTGAAAAAAAAAATAATATAAATAAATAACGTAAAAACGTTGCACTTCAACTTACCTGCCTAAGTTGGAACATCGACAACTGAGAGTAGAAAGCCTCTCCCTGGATTCTGCAATCCAAACATTCGTACAACACCTTACACGCACTGTTCATTTTTTTGTTCTTTCTTTCCAGAAGTTAAAATTAGAAATGAAGAAAAAAAAAACTCATCTTCCCATCAAATCTTAACTATTCTCCTTCTTTTTGGAAAAGGTCAGGTCAACACCATAAATAATAATATTAGGACTCATTTAGTTTTAATTTACTTACTCTGTTCGAAATCCTTATCATAGACTTTCACACTTCATTTAATTTAACTAACCAATAAATATATTTATAGATTAGTCTTAACACTTATTGCTACTGTGTTTTCTAAAGGCATTAAACCTCTAGCAAAACACTTAAGGGGGATGGATTGTTATACCCCTACATAACTACCTTTATATTGTTAACATCTTATATATTAAGTCTATATATTAATCATTCTTGTATTTTTCCATATCCTGTTTCGAAATCTATTAATTATTGTAATTTGCGTCATTCAACTATTGATAACGATAATAATCTAGGTCAAAACATCTGCTATCTTTACGAAATCTTATCAGGTCCAGGAGGCTAGCGCGTGATCAGTTTTAACGCATTTTCCTTTGTTCCTAATGACGCAGGTTGACAATATAAATTGCTTCTTTTGCATTCAGAAGCGTTCACTCATTAGACTAACAACCCCAGCTTACAGTTCTCTCCATTTACGTATACTTTGTTATTTTTGTCAATAAGTTTAATTAATTTAAATAAATAAATCCAAAGTTAGTTCTCCAAGCGTTTTTACTTGACCAAAATACATTGTATTCCGAGGATCCCAACAAGTGGTACATATAGGTCCACACTCATGCGTGTTTAAATTCACCACTGATAAAATGTAAAATTTGGTGAATTTTATTGAAAAATAGATTAATTTCACCCGTTCTTGCGTGTTAAAATATTCTAGAGGACGTAAAAAGTACACTTGACTAAGTGTTAAATTAGGTTTTGATCAAAGTTAAATTTTATTTACCTAGTGTTAGACATATTTTGGGTAAAATGTAAAAAAAACGCAGTAGTATGAGTGTTAATAGTATTTTACATTATTAGCCAGGTAAAACAGTTTTTACTGGTGATTGAAGGAAATGACTAGCGAGCCGTCAGGCGAGCTTGTCACCTTCAAGAGCCAGTAAAAACTGATACCTGGCGTATGATGTACAATAATTTATTTGTATACTCATTTGTAAACAATAAATAAAATATTAATTTTTTATTTATTGTTGAATGCAACGAAAAAGCGAGAATTATTTGTGTTTGTTGGGCGAGGTGTTTTGTATTGTCGTACGATTGTCGACTAGGTTTACGCCTTCAATACCGCCAGAAGTTACAAAAAATTCTCTGTCGATTTTTGTCTTTGTATTGGGAATTACAATATGAAATACGCAGCGTTCATCTTTGATATTATCACACGTCAAATCTGTTAACTCTTGTTTGCGACAAGCCCCAGCGATTCCGATAATAAGCCCCACCTGCGACAAATAAAAATGGATGTTAAAAATTGCCTCTTTAAGTTTTGAAGTTTGCTGGTTATTTTAAATGTGGATAATAAATATATGAATAGCTTACCTTAGCGAGCAAAAACTTCTTGTGTTCTGCTTCTATCAGAAATTTACCAATTTCATCTTTAGTAAACGTTCTACTCTTTTTGGGTTTTATATCCTTCAGACTTTCTTTTTAAAAGAGCTTGTAGCTGGGCAAACTTGCTTATATCCACATTATTTTTCATGGAAATTGTAGCGCACATCATGGAATAAAATGCCCACAGACTGGATGAGCTGTACTTTTGTGCTAATGTTTCAAAATATGCGAGGAATAACCTTTTCTTGAAAGTAGTTTTTGATATTTTTTTCATTGCACCAGCTGATGAAACGGTCGTATCCTTTTTGTATCTGTCCTTGGACTTTTCCGGTAACAGCGAGGATACAGCGTTTCTGGGCAATTTCTTCTATGTCTGATGGAACATCCGTTTCACTCATTTTTAGGAGCTTTTCGTCGGAGCTTTTTTTCAAATTTTATAATTCTTTGGAATGACTTGTTGAAACATTTGAAAAAATATTTCATCGGCATAGCAAGCAAAACGACATGCTACTTTGATTTTTTTTTTGTTCAGTCAGTGTCATTGTTTGTGTTAAGGCTTGCTCAGATGGCGGCATCGCGACATAATCCTCTAGGGCTTCGCCCCCTAAAAAGCGGCCTTGCGGGGGCTGGGCTCCCCAAAAAGGGGGCTCTCACAGGGCTTTGCCCCCCTAAATAAAGGTCCCCCGGATTTAATTATGGGTACCAGAAAAGATAAATGTGAGGGAAATGTAATTAAATCAGCTTTCAAAATAGTTTTCCCAATGTCAATATTTCCAATATTAGATTTGTTCGGACTTCAGTTCAGAATTGAACTACGCTTTCACATTTCTTTATATAGGTTTGATATGACCAAATGCGTAAGCGTAGTCCAATTTAGAACTGATTTTGAACTGAAGTCCAAACAAACCTTTTTCCTCATTATTGAATATTGACGGATTATTCTTTCGAGTAGAGCAAAAACGGCCAAACTTCTTGTGTTTTGTGTAAAATCTGTTTTTTTTTTAATTTAGGGAACATTTATCTGGATCTAAAATGCACACCAACACCAAGACGTGACCAAGACGAATTCTCATTCGGAACTATTTTGACATATTTGACAGAACTAATATAACCTAAAACTACTATTATATCCTAAGAATTAACACGCAATACACCTATCTACACTCTGTGAGGTGCTCTGATCTATGATAGTCATATCACACAAGGAGGATAAAGAGACTGTCATTGAGCCTTACAACATGATCAGTTTTTAACAACCTCTTCTGTTGTTTTCTTTGATGACACATAGGTCATGACTATGATGGTTATTTTTGCAACAATTAGTAATATGCTAGCAAATCCAAAAGTTGCATAAATAAAATATTGGAAGCTCTGATTAAGGAATAAATTTTTTAAAGCTTCAGTGTTTGATTGGTCATTACTCAATGAAATGCAAATCCCATTGTACTCAATTGTCCCAAAAATAAATAGTCTGTCTTCAAATAGACAGTTTGGTTGAGTTTAGGCAAGAACATATAACAATACTCATGATTGTCTAGTTGCAGAATCATCTGAGACGACTCCTGACAAACTAGGAAATCTCTGTTGTATGCACAGTTGGATACAAATTGTTTTGGAACTAATGATAACCTTAGGGTTTATTTCACAGCCACACAATCAATAGCATACTCAAAATGGAATGTGCATTTTGGGGGTGTGAACATCACTTGGGTGTCAAAAATAGTTAAAATCCATGAACAAAGACACACTTCCAGACACAACTGTTGACTGTTCAACAAAAATTAAGCAATCTCTTGAGTCTGAACTAATTGCGTTTAAACTCGGCAACGTCGCCTTGTGGTGCTCCAATTGAAGGAATCTGCCGCGCGCGAAGAGTGAGTGAGACATTCACGTCAATCACGTCAATTCACGTGGGAGTGACATTTGTAGAAAATCTAATGTTTTGGTAGAGGAAATGATTTTGCATTTTTTCTTAACGATAAGGCGTTGCTCGCCAATTAAACTGTAGAAATAATAGTTTGTTTTTATTCTTTGTTGCAACTTCATAACGATAAAATACAGTCCACTTATTAATTCAGTTACGTGTATAATCTTTCTAATATACCTGGAAAATCACCGTAACAACAACATCATCTATAATGATGTTGGATCCATCCCTAGTTTG